GATGTGTATAAGAGACAGCCATTCAACTTTTATTCAGAACATTTTTTTCTATCTCTCGTAGTTTTGATGATATTCGCATTGAAAAAATAAAACCGATTTTTTTCCAAGGGATGTTTCATTAACGCGACTCAGCACGAATGCAAAAATTGTAGTATCTTATTTTTGTCTGTAGTTTAACATATCCAAAGCTTATTGAAATCGGAGGGGGACACTTCCGTGTGTTCCCCTGTGAGAAAGATCGCTAGACCATTTGCTACATATATAAATATATATTTACCGATAGCCAGACTGTGATCCCACCAATTGTAAGAACACTGGTAGAACTTCAAGTCGTGATTATCCGCGATTACCTCTGCATAAGGCGGCGCGCTGACGGTCCATGTTCCGAGATAGATCAGCATCACCAGCAGGATGGGCACCATCCACTGCAGCAACTGTTTATCCGTCAGTTTAACCTTGTGGGCGCTTTTCACTCGATACGTAAGCGAAACTCTGCGGAGAAACGATATTTATTCGATTTATTTATTCACTATTACGATCGTCACAAAAATCGAATTGCTGAATATATAAACGGTCTAAATTTAGTTGCAGCAAATTTACTAAAGTATAGCAGTACATTTATTATCGACCTCTCTTGAAAAAAAGACCAGTGATTCTACTTTGAAATCAAGAATCGCTTCATTTCCATCACTTAAGTCCACTTTAATGCTACAAATATTTCAAAGCGTTTGATTGATCAACCAGAAGAAAGAATTTTACTAATTAATCAATTAAAGAACGCTTCAAAACATTTGTAGCATTAAATGGACTGTAGCCTAAGAAACTTTCTTGATAGCAACAACTTTTACATTGTTTTACTCGGAACCTATAACAGTGCGTACTTTTAACGATTTCATAGCGACCGTGCTTTATCGTAGTCGCTTACCGCCAGGTTTTCATCAACAGTGCTGTATACGAGACGCAAAATCCCATATGTCTCGTCCATTTTGTGGCGATGCACGAATACATATCGAGAACCGGGAATATAGCGGCCATCTACAGTGGATGAAAACTCCTGATTAGTATACTCGTACAAACGGAACTTGAGAGAAAAGAATAGAGTGCTTCTTTCGACCTACCTCGAGATACATCAACGCGCAGCCCAGAAGCGTGATAGACAAGAATATCGGGGAAGCGACTTTGAATACCTTTAGTTTACGATGCTGATACATGTACGCCACCAGGACGATGGTGCCAAACGCGCAGAAAATTGAAACAGCTAACAGCGAGATTCTTAAAAAAAATAACACAATTAAAATAACGACATCAAACGATAAGATAAAAAATATGTCGGGGAAACTTGAAAATACCTAAACGGCCAGTTGTACGTCGCCAAGCAAGGCTCGGGGCCTTTACACCTGGCGCATCCCGGTGCGCAACGCAAACATAGAAATACCTTCTCGTAAGAGACACTCTTATTCTCCCTCATTTCCTTCCACGCGGCTGTAATATACGAGTGAAGGATTAGATAATGTACGACAAACGAAAACTAAATAACACAACCGATTCGGACCTTCCACGAGGATCCCATCGAAACCAGACCGATGATGACTGACGCTGTAAAAGCCTTGCCGACACTTACACACGTACGCGCCTTTCGCCCAACCGGCGCCCACCCCGTTTGCGTTCACTCGATTGCCGGGCCCCTGATACACACACTAAATAAAAAAAATCATAGCTTTCGTTTTTTACGATTTTCTACACGAAGAGTAATATGTTATAGCTTACGAAATTTACGACATTTACTTGCGTGGTATCGGTATGACACTTATGAGTACCCTTAAAAAAGGCTATCTGATTGCCTGAGGCGGTCTCGAGCCCATCGTTACGGTTTTGTATCGGGGCGTCGCACTGATTTACCTCCAACCCGCTTATATCGATATCCATGCTGATAAATTCCCTCACTCTTCAACGAAAAAAACGATCGAGTCGGTTAGAGCGTACGTAGTTTAATTACGACAAGCGAGCGTAATTAAATTGAATTAAACAAATTTTTTTCATAAGTGAGAGCTGTATACCAACCCGGGTTGGACGTCTGGCGGTTTCACGTTGACGCTATACGAGATGAGCCAGCGGTGAGTCTTGCAGGAGAAGTACGGGATGGTCCACCAACCCCTGTAGGATTCAATCGGCGGTGACTGCATGAATTTCGGTGACCTGGGATCAACACGCAAACGCCACAAGCCGCCATAGAAACTTCGACATTTCTTCTGGTGAACACGTTTCTTTCGTGCAACGAGTCGTACTTCGCCCGGCACTTCACGGTCATCCCGGTATCGTTGTGGCCGTTCGATCGAAACGGCGACTACATGGTTTCTCAAAGTCTTGCAAAATCGCGAATTCACAATCGTCCGCGAGTGTCTATCGAGTTTCTATGACTTGACGCTCGTACGGGATGATGAGGGATGATGAATGATCGTGGAGCGCCTACAGGACCAGCGCGATTCTCTTCTAGCCAATTGTTTTGGACACATATGGATCTGTCCACCGTTATTATCTGGACATTTTTCATGAGTTTACATCTAAAAATTTGACTTTGGTATAGTTAGGTATATAAACTTAAAGATAAAATATTTATTATAATATTTCTTCGTTAAATATTATGCGCGGTTACATTTTTAAAAACGTAAGATTAATATTCCTCAAATCTAAATGAATTAAAGTTGTTTGATATAGTTGTTTGATATTATATGATTTAGAGCAATTCTCGCGCAATTCTTCAGAAAAGCATAACGTCATATCGTATCTAAATTGAATACATTAATTAATTAATTGATTAATCTATTAAGATAAGCATATTGATTTCTTATTAATAATAATACTTTTTTGGCATCTGGACGAAGAAAATATGACAAATGTATCGATATAATTAATAAGAATTATATTGGATTTGTAATAAACCTTCAAAATATATTTTATTAAAGAATTTATAATTTAAACGTCTTAACTTCGAAGCACGTAAAATATGGTACGTAATTCTTATTTTAACTTCCCATCAATGGATGTTTTCTATTTAGTGACACAAGTCGACATAAACGTTGTATTTTTCTTGATATGAAGTTTTTAATGAGTCACAAAGATAGAACGACACTGCACGGTATGCCGACTTGTGTCACTAAATGGGAAGCACCTAATAAAATCGAACTTGTTCTTGTGGACAGACCCGTATCTTTTATTTTTATAGTTCATCGCGATAGAAGAGAAAGACAATATTTTAAGCATGAACGTGACAGGGTGCGAAATAGGTGCTGACAAGGTGCGTGTGCGTGCATGCGTGCTAACATTTTTTAGGAAGAAATACAGAATAATCTCCCAGACAGCACGCATGTCCAAAAGTAGGGCATAAAACATTTCAAAGACATCGTTTAAACGTCTTATAGACATCGTCGCACGTTTTTAAAATGTCTTCAAATCGCCTTTGAAAGGCATATATGGCACTTTTGGACATGCGTGCTGTTGTATGCTATCTGGATCGTTATTGATACAACTGAGATTCTTGTGAGAAGAAAACGATGTTATAAAAAATATAGATATCAGAAACGTAAAACAGGTTTTCTTTACGCGAGATTCTATTTTCAAGAAAATCAAAGAGATAAAAAATAAAATACACATAAAAAATCAATTCTTATTGTTCTTATTGATTGAATAGAATTATCATCTTTTCAGTAAGTGTATCGCCCGTAACGAGCCGTCCTATATTGACACTCAATGGAAAGACGAAAGATTTCAGAAAGTTTGGCTTCTGCAGATGCACAGTTGTGCAAGAGAGTATTGCGAGCACATGACGAGCCGCAAACCTTAATCCGGCGCTGCTGCCTGCGTTCTCGAACCACGGCAAGTTGGGATCCGGTTGCGAACCGGGCTGTACCGCATGACTCTCAACCTTGGTGGGCTCGCCGACACTCCCGGGACTACGTTTCAGCCACACCGCGGTGATCACCGTGCCGGTGGATGCGTTGAGCGCGATCACTCGCGCCTCGACAGCGTCGTCCACCGATACGAGCAGGGACTTGGTCAGGGCGTCTAAAAGAGCTACGGCAATTCCGTTAGTGGCATCTTTGGCCGTACATCTCGGCCGTGTTCAACGATCACTTTCGGCACGCGCGTTGCTCGCCACGCGCAACAGGTGCCGCCAATTAAGCGAACAGGTAGAGTAATGGAACTAAATTGAGGGCACTAATTCCGGATCATTTGTCATGCTTGAATTACTTTTTCCTCGTTAAACAGTGCACATTCAAATATTTAATCGTTTGTCGTGTTCCTGGGGAGAAGAACGCAATCTCCCTTACAACGATCCGAAATTAGTATTCCTCACATTGCAACCCTGACTCACCGTTACGGTGCGCATCGCGCATCGCTTCAGCAGCCCCGAGATTCCGAAGCACCATAGCGGTCATGTCGGCCTTCTGACGCGCCGTGTCGTAACGCCGCGGGTCCAGGGCGACACCAGCCGGAAGAGACTTAAATCCCGCCGTGCTGACGCAAACCTCGCCCAGAGAACCCGTCGATGCCGCCTCTATCACATCCAAGGCTTCCTCGATGGCCGCCTTCGAAAAGAATCGGAAAATAGCGCGTCAGAAAAAGATACGCGAAGAATCGCTCATATAGTAATCTGCGTATTATAGGCTGTGTTCGTTTTGGCGCTTACAGCGCTCACAATATCATTTCATCCTTGTTTATCAAATGTTAAACAAAGACAAATAATGCTTATAAGCGCTGTAAGTGTCAAACTGAACGCAACCATAGTCGAGCGAAATAAGCATCGATGAGGACAAACCCGTTTGGAATCGATGTCGTCACGAGCGGTCGTCGATAGAGACGGCGTCGAGGATGAATCGGCCTTCGTCACCGCCATCATCGTCATCGTTGTCAGCGTAGCAGCGAGTAGGACCGAGAGCCAGGACTCGCCCATCCCGCGCCCTGGTCATTTGTTCTTGTAACGAAAACGAAAGCTCCGCGGTGTTGATTTATTTAAAAGTAATAATATTCATCAAAGAGGTAAGGTAAGGTAATTTGGTAATATCTCAAATTAACGTCTCTCCTCTGCCTCATATTGGTATAAATTAATTACTGTACATATAAAGTAAGAAATATTGCAGACAGCTGTGACAAGTAATTTTCTACAACCCTACTGAAATTCGATGGTAGGGGAGGTCGTTATGAGACTCTCGCTCTCATCGTGTATCACCAAAATGTCTTACTTCATCGCAGTTTAATCTCACCTCCCGCGGTGACATTCAAGTGGCGGCGGATCCGCGACCCTCGCTCGTAATGGGCCGCTCGTACGCCCTCGCCGGCGATCGTCCGGGCATATTTCCGCCTGTAATCCTTCAGCCCTCTCGATTTTCCATGGGAGATACGTCGCAGGTAAACGCTGTCGCGTCGCCTACGTCGAGAAACAGATAACGCAAAACGATAGACGGTACGCTCTATTCTACAGTCGCGCGTCGCCATCCGAACGCGATCGATTACAATTGATCTTTGGATTAATTAGCCGGACTAATTAGTCGATAAAAGACTAAAGGAGACGCTCTCCTCCTGCTCTTCCTCCTCTCCCTCCTCTCCTATTTCCCGTCGCGCTGGAGAGTATTTTGCTATTTTAAAATCGAGTAGAACGCACGCCTCGAACAGCCTCGACAGCGTCGGGAATATTACTGGCACTGTCGCTATCGGCGGCCTGGTCGCTCGATTTCGTCTCGTTTTCTCGGCGTATCGTAAAATAGAATGGCAGGTAGAGGTATAGGAGAGTCCATTTTCCAGCGACTTACCCAGCCTTTGACAAGCGACACGTGAGGTTCGCTCAACCTTGAATAAACCTCGATAATCCCTTCGACCCCTCGGCCTCACTCGTGCCCGCATGGTCATCTCGGTTGCGCCGCGCGATCGTATATGTCAAACAAGAGGGAAATGTGTCGCTTTTTCCTTTGGAAAGTATTCGAGATCGGTTGCGACAGAGAGGGAGAGGGAGAAAGTTCGTTAGCGTGTGTGCTCGATTAAAAAGTACATGCGACGTACAAAACAAAACGTGTGCGATCGATTAAAAGAGAGACGCGAGGGGGATGCGAGAGTCTCGCTCGTGTAAGTCGCCGTTCCGATCGGTTCGAAATCGATACACATGAACGTGTCGTTTCGGCCATCATCTGGGTGGCAACCGACGTCGACGGTGCGACATCTCGTCCAATCCAACGGTCGATTCACAGAGATAATAACGCGTCCGTTATCATGATTTACAGTATTTTTCTGGCGCGACGAGGTCGCATTGTCCATCCGTTGGAGACGGGCGCTGTAGCGTCAGTAGAAAACGATCGATGCAGCCACTGGCATGGTACAGCTACCCCCAGAACCCGCCATGTCCTCATCTCCCCTCTCTCTTTGGAGTCTCACTTTCCTTTCGCGTCGTATCTCTCTCGGACTATCTCCCGATCTCCCCTTCTCTCTCTCTCTCTCTCTCTCACCCTTTCTATTTCTCTCTATCTGTCTCTCTTCTCCTAACTTTATTTTACGCGCTACGCCAAACTAAACTGCATATCGGGAGTTTAGTCTGCAATCTACCATTCGTAATTTACGCTTATTCACGCTGCTCCTCTCCGTAGCATTTTGTGCGAATTTATTTCAGTGCGATTCATACGATTTTATATGAATAAAGTTTTAAATACATTTTATGATCTGCAATTCGTATCAAATTTCAGGATAGGATTTTATTTATAATTTTAATAAACATTTATATGCATTTTAATATATATAATATATAATATATGTTATATTTTAATTCTATAAATGTTTTTCGTATTGCACGACGCATAGAATTACAAATAGAATTCTACCCTAAATTCCGACACAAATTATATTAGATCATTTAAAAGGCGAGCTTTTTATTTTGCACACACAAAGCAGAAACTTACACGTAGAAATTGCACGAAAACGTATCCGTACGTAGTGAGTCGAAGCTACTCGTGAACGGCGAATATTTCCATTCATTGGAACCATGACACTCCGTTGATCACTGAAATATTAATAATATAATGCTCACGCACGTACGCACACGTGTATTAAATATAATATGCACATATGTATTCATCGCGACCATCTATTACGACGTCTACGAGTGATCACTTTCTTTTTTTTTTTTTCGAAAAATCGATAAATCTGAATATTGACAGTTTTTACTGTGCGTATGTATGTGTGTATGTGGGTGTGTGTGTGTGTAATTTTAAAGTTCAAAATACGCCAGAGTTTGTTTGTTGTTTTTAGCAACTTTGTCATATTTTTATATTTATATTTTGCAAAAGACAGATTACATGACGAACGCCACCGAGAAACCGGGAGGTCGCGAAAGTTTCATCATTTCGCCAGATTCTCTCCGCTGCGAAATACCGTGAAATCAAATACAATCAACAATATATATCAATATATATATCAATCGACTTAGAAAAGAAAAAACAAACGATATCAATGTGTGCAAAATGGCGTGTTATATATATACATAAAGTGATGCGCGCGCGAATAATTTTTATGGGACTGATCGAAAGGGAAAGCCCACGTACGGTTTTAAAGCGTAATGTTTTCAAAAATGTGGTGTGTTCTCCTGTTCATCTTTCGTGAATGTAATTCATTATGTAACCCGGATATAACGCGACAAAAACGCGTCGGAAAAATAAAAACGTCGTCGCGGCAAAGCGGCAGAAACGTGTAGCAGAGTCGAAGAAGGCGCAGGATTGTGGGATACGTTGGAACGCGGATCATGTCCAACGGACAGTGGATAATCGCCCCACTTACCCTCGGCATTTAACGCACCTCGCTTCCCGCGTAGTGGAGACGCGCGCGAAGCGGGAGATCCAGAGGGACGATTAACTGACGAATTGACTGGAGGAAAACGCACGAGATTTATCGGCGCGACGGCCCCGGCAGCGCGTACGATGACGGGGCTATGGGATTATGATCAGAGTATACGAAATATACACGAGGTATCCACGAAAATCCTTTGTCCGATGCGAGCGAGGTCCAAGCGGACTGGATTTGCTCGTGACACGACGAGGACTCAGCTGTATCGCCGGGACCGGAGCCGGGGTCGGGGTCGGGGGTCACCCCGTCGTCGGGGCGTGCGCCCTTCGCGCGAAATCAAACGTCGTCCTCGCCCTGATACGTTCACAACACGACGCGGGAGAGAATACTTATACATGGAGACGACGGCCGAGATGTACTGGGGATGACTAAGTCAGTCAAGAGGAAATCATTTAGCGCATTAATCAACATGTCGGTGTTTTGCCGATCTTCGACGGGGAAACGATTCGATTGTCTCGCGGTGATTCCTCGACTCGATCATCTGGCGCGTATCCGTCGTGCGAAACTGTGGACGTACTTCTCGCGCATGTCATCCCCTTTATTCTATTGGAAATAGATGTAGGTTCAGCGCGGGCGCAACTCTCTCTCTCTCTCTCTCTCTCTCTCTCTATCCCTCTCCCTCTCCTTCCCTCTTTCCCTCCTCTGTACAAGAAATAAAATTCGAATCGCGCTGCGTTGCAGATGTCGAAAGACGATCAGCGATCTTCGATCGATTCGCTCGTACTCGATCTCACAAGTTCGACTGGGGCTGATCTAAGTGACAGAATCGTTGTGGTAAGCATAAAATAGAGAGATATATATGTTGCGTTCCCTAAGATTTTAAACACTGCGATTACATTATTCAATTTATTTAAAAAAAAACAATTACAATTTTGTGGATAATTGAAATAAGATACGTGCGCCAAGTCTACTTTCAGGCAAAACAAAACATTGTGCTAAATTCTCCAGCATGGCGACCGTCATCACTATTGACGTTAAACTATCGCGATATAATGATCAACCATGGGGCTTTCGACTCTCTGGAGGCGTGGACTTTACTTTTCCTTTGACTGTCGTTAGGGTAAGATACATTTTATTAAGTAATATTTGAATTTAACGATAATACTCAATGAGACAAATTACTTATGATTCTTTGCGATATACCTTTTAATTAAAATCCAATTAAAATCTAAATCTAATTACGTTGCTGCAATAGGCGTTCGAGACAATTATTTTCGATTGAAGTGATTATTTAAGTGATAAATTTTTCTTTTTCCACTTTATCATTATCATTAAACCCGCTTGTGCAATCACAAGGTGACGATCGGGGGCCTGGCCGATACAGCTGGTCTGCAAGCGGGCGACGTGGTGATCCGCGTGAACGAAGAGCCGATAAGTCAACTCACACACGCGCAAGTTCACGATAAGCTCGTCAACGTCGGCAACGATATCGTTCTATCTGTTATACGAAGTCACGAGATCGCGCGGCGACAACAGGGGCAATAATGGGCATCCCATTGCTGACGGATGGCCTTATACTTCACGAGCTCTCAAACCTAACGTCGTCGCGGCGGTGTAGCGCGCAGAATAAAAGTGGAAAAGTCCAGCGCACATGGTATCGCGATGCGAAGACGCGAGCACGAGTTGTAAAACGAGACGAATGGAATAAAATTGATGGAAAATACCGACGAAGGTGAAGAGATTTTTAAGCTGCACATGTGCTTGTGCTTATAGCACGCCTTGGCCTGACCTCATCGCGACGCGCATCTGGCACGCATCAAGTCGCGACAATTTCAAGGCCTCAGGTCGCGACAATGTTGCGAAACTGTGTCGGTGATCGGTCCACGTGATCGAGCGCAATTAGACAACTATCGATCGGACGCCCGTTGCGTCCTTAATGGGCCGTCATTTTTAGTCGCAATTAAGATCCGCAAACAAATTCTTTCCTCCTTCCAGTAATGTGATTAGATAATACGATCGGACGAACGACGTATTCAAGAGGGAGCGCGATGGAGAACACACGTTACATATATTCACATAATTTATTTTCGTTTTAATATATTAGATATTGTTTATAGAATATATATGTATATTATATATACACATATACATATATGCATATATGTGTACCACACACACAAACACACACACGCGCGCGCGCACGCACGCACGCACGCACGCACACACACACACGTACGCACACGCACGTACGCGCGCGACATACGACACACACACATACACACACGCGCGCGCGCGCGCATATATATATTATGTATATATACATGTATATATGACTCGCGCTATAATCATTATCGTAACTCGACGTACACGCCATTTCGCAATATAATTTACACAAAAATTACTGTACAATATATATTAGCCGTTTCTCGCTCTCTCTTCTTTCGAGCATACATCCGCGCTGCAATTACACATGCACACAAGGAAACTTTATCACACTTGTTACATTTTTCATCACTTTTACCCCGCGTCTTATCGTTCTCGTCGTCGTCATTTGGGAGGGGACGCAGGACCAAGTATCAAGCTTGTATTCAAATATTATTAAAGTAAAAAAAAAAAAAAAAGAAAAAATCACTTCAAAGATTGCAGAATTGAAGGAACATATAAGAAGTCACGCGCTACGATTATAAGTAACGATCACACATTGCGATCACTAAATGCCTAGACTGTTTTCGTCTTCTCAGAGCCGTGGTATGCGCGTTTTGTGGCGAATCTATCGGGTGCGAAATTGGATCCTTATCGTCCGTCTGCGCGTACCAATTCCGCTTTCCATGTATGATATGATGGCTATACCGGATATGAGGGCTATCCCCTTCCGCAGCGACTATCTAATGATATGCATGTCCCTCATTCTTGAGTTGTAGACAAATGTCGTGCAATGAGTTTAACGAATATGTATTCTATAACTTTGAGCGCACATATCTGACGGAGGACACAAGGGTACACAGGTGCGAGTTTACACCATCGATCTTTGCCGACTTATAACTCGATTCCAAATTGATCAATTTCAATCTAATCTTTTTTTTAGAATATAAGAAAGAAAGAAGAGATCTGATGATGATATTATAAAAGCCGATAAAAAAAATGATAAAAGAATGAAAAATTGATTTACGGTTGGTCGATTTTGAAAAAACGATCGATTTGAAAAAATCGAGATGCAAATGTGCACAGTGCGGTCGAAGAGTTAAGTGTTAGCAGAGATTAGCGAAAACGATAGAACACAAATTCATCGATAGAATTTTAAATCTTATTACCTGTTTGTACAGTTTATTTTACTGCGAGCTTTAAAGTACAACAAAGATAGATGTTACGCAAATATTTGTCGTTTATCGCTTATATAATAGTTTTTGTATTATCTATTTCTCTAGCGATACAACAGCTCTAGGCGAAGACAAAAACGGCTGTGGGAAAGAAGGTTCGAGATCGATTCCAGGAATCCAAAATCTATTTTTGTAAAAAGCAAAGCAACTGACAATGAGAAGCCCGACTTCTATCTGCTGCTATTAATTAATTCACTAATTAATTAGCACGCGTAACAGGATCGTTATTTTGCCGGCTAACTGATAGTCGCAATCGATCTCGATATATAAATTTACACTTTGGTATACAAATACGTAATCTAATCGCGCGTATAGGCGCCGTTCCGATTGTATCCTTCGACGAGCTTTTGCGTCGAAAACTATTGTATTGTTACGCCCGCGTCTAAGTCCGCGTCATTCCATGCACCAGCGAGCCGGTTGAGTTGTCGGCGAGAGGAGGCTGTTTCTCTGATGACGTGCTATTGCCTGTCAACAGTCTCCATGTTAGATTTGGAGACGAGCTGTCGTACCGTTCGGACGTGCTCTGACCCTTTCTGTTAAACGATACGTTGTGTTCGACATTGTAATAAAAAGTGTTCCTTACTTTAAATTGGTATTTCCTTTATTCCTCCGCGGCGATCCGGTGAGTGTGCGCGTACGCGAGTGCGGAAACGCAAGCTATACGCGAGCGAGTACGCGAGCGCGAGTTTGACCGTCCCGGGCGTAACAGTATCATTTTTAGAGAATCATATCCCTGTCTTTATTCTCTCTCTACATTGAAAGTCTGTGTCACAGTAAATATATGTACACAAGGCGTCACAAATGCCTACCCACCTGAACTTGCAAGGACCGATCTGTTTATATGTATTATGTGTATGCATGTATATATATATATATATATATATAAAAGTATGTGCCCCTGCAATTTCAGATGGGTAGGCATTTGTGACGCCTTGTGTACAATACAATCAGGTACAGTAGTAGCATAAGGAGATTGATCGGTTAGTGTTCAGGAACAAATAGACAAATAGACGGACGAGAGGAGAGGTGATTAAGAAACAGGATGTAAAATAGAGAAAAAAATAAAGAAGGAAAGAAAGAGAGAGAACAAAGATCCTTTTCTCATCATTTCACAAGATCGTTCATATTTAGCTTCTTCAACTTATTATATTGTCAAATTTCTAGAATAATTTTGATTAAGACACATTTCAACGCGAGAGAGTTGTATATTCGGTCCATTTGATCAACAGATCTGTGGAAATTGACGAAAAGGAATTAACACCGAGCCGTTAGATGGACGGGATCACTTATTTGTATTCGCGCAGGACACAGGCCGTGATAATTGAGATGAGAAAAACAGACGGGAAACGGCTCGCGATGACAATAAAAACTATATCCCGTATTTCTCTTTCTGACAATTGGCGGATGGCCGGCTACATTTGGTACATTCAATTTTAATAGCCAGCGACGCCATCGTAATGACTATTGGTCCGCTTGCTCGCTGATTTCCTCGTTGTCGGACACCGATGTCGACAGTGTCCTATCGTGATTCGTGCAGGTCTCCGCCTGGTGTTTGCTTTCAGCAATCTCCAACCAATGTTGCTTATTCATACTGACCCCATCGACGAGCGGCACAAGTTTGTCCGACAGATGGGCAAACGCCTGTCCAAGTGAGCATAAATACGGAAAGATAGGTTAGAATTTTGACAACAACAAAAAATATTTCTCGTTACGTTGTACGTACCTCATAGATAGGTAAACAGATCGAGTCGATGAAGCCAACTTGCATCATCGGTAACTGGTCCTCTTTTTCTCGATTCATAATATCCTACAGTATCGGAAATGTGCGTTCATGCGAGAATATCTTTTTATGAATAAGTTACATTTATTTTTTTATATTACTCACAATAGGTGTAATGTTGAGCGTCCGCCTCTCTATGTCGCCTTGTTCGAAAAATTCGCTACTAACGAGCTCGGCTACTCTCTTTTCAATCTCCCATGGTTTCGTAATGGCGGCCAGATCACAGACTGTCATCAACATTCCTCGTAGAAGCTCTCGATGATCACTAAACGCCCAGTTGTAGCCACCATTACGTGCTAAATTAAGGAAAGCGCCACGCTTTCTAAAGTAAACGGCCAAATCGGTAGAAAGTATCGCCTCTTCGAGAACTTTTACTACACGCGAATATTCTTCTGGCGAAAGATTTGACAGAATTTGATTGCCCTGGCTGCTCAAGATCATCAGACACTGATCGAAGTGGTGATGTTCCATCGTCGAGGTCGAATACAGCTGTGCCAGCGGTGACGAGGCTCTAAAAACGAAGAAATATCTCGTATGGACATAGATACTTTGCCATAATGAGATAAAGGGGCATGAATTAATACGAAAATAAATAAAAGCGCTCACTTAATTTGAAAGGAATTGTTCGTTCCACGATGATCGAGATCGTGACACAGGCAGGCAATGATGAGCGCGAGACATTCAATTTCACCAAAGATCTTCCACCATTGCGTAGCCTAGAAACATTTCACAAATTATAATCGATATTATGACCGATATAAAAGAAGAACTCACCGTCAAAATAGCAAACATCATTTGGGCCACGTTAAAAGCGTGTCGCCAATTATGGTACGTAACGTTTCGGTAATTCTTCTTTACGCTCAACAACCAACGACAAAGTACATCGTAATCGATATGAAATCGTTCGACGAAGTCCAAGTCGAGGAACATCCTAAGACACGCAGTGAGAGTTTCGTCGTCTTCCATGTGTATGTCGTCAAATTTGAAATCGTGCAGTTGAAAATGTGCTGACGACGGAACTCTTAAATTCTGTCGAGAAAGACAGAAAATAATAACAATAAATTTTTTTTAAAATTATGATTGAGATTATTATGTTATTATTAAATTATGATTATTGTTGAGCTAAAGCACACCAACCCTCAATCTCTGCGCATCCTCCAACGACGCCGATGCATGGTAACTCAATACTTCTAAAGTGACGCTTTGTTTTGCCATCGCTATCACAGCCTTTTCATACCTGAAGACCCGATAAATCAAGTCGAATGTTCGAGATAGATCCAAGATACACAAGTACACTCACATGTGCGTATTATGAATTCCCATCCCGCAGAAGATCGCGAATGCCTCGACAAAATTTTCATCGTTCTTCGTGAAAGGCAGATCGTCGAATTTATTAATTAGCTGAATAACGCCAATTATCTGACCGCATGAATTCTTGATGGCCATACAAAGAATTGTACGATGCCGAAAGCCGGTACCGTCGTCTACTAATGGATCGAATCTCGGATCTTCGTAAGCGCTCGGTATATTGACAGTCTGCAAAATCTTTATATCGTTTCGGGCGCTAATGTTTTACAGGAAACAATTAATTGACTAATACTTACTTCACCGGTTGTCGCTACGTAACCCGTAATACCGACGTTAATAGGAAATCTACTCTCGAAAGGACTGCAAAGAGAGAAGGATTCGTTAGATCTCTAGGACAAACTTATCGAAGAAAAGTTAGATGTAATTACAAACTTGATTCACCTAGTGCGAGAATCAGAATCCTCGCCAGCGAGATCGTTCGCTTCGAAATCGAAGACGCGCGAGAAACTTCCTTTTGAAGCTTTGTGCACGAGTAACACCTGAAAGCAATCATGACATTGTAATGCGCTACTTTACTCGCGTAATCGCATTCTCTTCACGACGATCGTTTACGTCAATTACCTGAACACGTTGGCATTGAATCAATGATTGCGTGTGCGTAAGAATTCTAAAAACCATGTGCTCTATCGTACTCTGTTCCTCAAAAATCATTCGGGCCAAATCCAGTAGAACCTAATGTTTAATATTAAAACGAATTAGATCCTTCTTCTTATCTTGTTTCGATCGATTCGACGAAATTGACGCTCACCTGATTCCTCTTCACCTCCAATTGACTCTTTTCGTAAAGCTGAGCGTTTCTTAAACCGATACCGCAGAACTGTAAGTAACCGGCGAAAATCTTCTCATCCTGTGCAGTGAATTGTCCCTCGCCACCGAGCTTGTTGATCACCTGTGCTACCCCGATTACATCACCGTTGCAATCCTTAATAGGCATGCACAATAAGGCACGCGTACGGTATCCCGTTAAAGCGTCAATTTCGCGATTGAACCTTGCATCCTGAAACGTTTAAATCATTTTTAACTCGACTTAATGGTTATCGAGATAAAGATAAGAAACTCTACTCGTGCAACAGATAAAGTATACTCATGCACATCTGTTTACATCGAAAGCGATCACGGATTTCGGATATAAACATATCATGATTCATCAAGAATTCCCAATGATTAATTATCAGAACAGGTGCAAAACATTCTCATTAGATGCAAAAGATAGATAAAAAATGTTATTATTCGGGTGAAACGGTATTTCCAAGTCTTACCTTGTAAGCATCCGGTATGTTGACAGGTTCCCCGCTTTCAGCGACGTATCCGACGATTCCGGTGCCCCAGGGAATCTTAATCTCGTCTTTCTTTTCCATCTCCAGTAATGTCGATCTCGAGCAGACATCGAATAACTTCGATACCAGACATCTGCTACGCGAACAGGATTGATCATTGCGCTGCGGGTTGCTTTCGTCGTCGAAGTTGCTTGCTGCGGTCTCGTGATTTGGGGAGGATGGCACATCGGTAATAGTAACGGCAGCGGCAGCGGCGACGGCGGCGGCGGCAGCGGCACCGCTTCTCTCTCCCTGGACGAGGAAGAGCGAACCGCGATCCGCGTGTAAGAGCGTGCTCACATTCTGCAAGATCTTGTGGCACAACGATCTCACGTCCAGCTCGTTGCAAATGTCTTTGACCTGTAGAGACCTTACAGAAGTTAGATACTTCAAGATAGAGGCCAACGGTGTCTCATTGAGGAACCTACCAGCTCGAAAATGAGATCCTTCTCGTCGAGATGCCTGAGCTCGTGTCTCGACCGTCTTTGCGGGCGGTTCGAATTGCCGGAGCCAACCTGCGGCCCGCCCGGCTGACCCGCGTCGCTCGTTGATACGCTCAGGAAGGTCGGCGTGCCGTCAATCGTATTAACAATCGGCTTCAAAAGACCGCCGCGCTCGAACTCGTGCGCCGAGATTTTGCGTACGGGCGTCGTGGCTCCTGAGCCACCGGCACCGCCTCGTCCGGAGGACGAATTGCCGGCCACGACGTGAGTTGGGCTCGAAAGCTCCACGCAACTGCTGGACGACGAGGTCGGCGTCGCATGTGACACCAGCCACATGTCCACGGTCTGCCGTGTCACTTTCCTGTTGAGAGGGAAACCAAAAATAGTATCTAATGATATAGAATGTCCCATTTTAATTGACAATCTCAAATATCTTTTAAATAGTGCATTTTATAGAAAACTGTTTCAGACAAAAGTTTTATGACTTCGAGGAAGCCATAAGAGAGTATCATTGATTTGATCTTTGATAATCGTTTGAAAGTCACATAAAGGTTACCTTCAATTTCTTAAATAAAAATTCCCGTTAATAAAATTTTTTTTATTAAGTATTTTTCGAGTTATAAAGATTGAATATTACAGTATCGCCAGTATTAATATTACCCAAAATGTATCATCCGAATTGTCCTGTCAAATTTACACTTCTCGTTGTGCGTGCGTGCTTGCGGTAAAGTATTTCAAGGAATTTTCTTCTATGAACTGTTGAGAGGTTTCAATGTCGAGTCCAACTATATATAACAATGAACAACTATGGGCAACAATAGTGTATTCGAACACTTAATTAGATGAAGGAATTTTATTTTCAATCTACAATAATTTTAATCTACAATCTGCAACATAATTGTTGTAAACAAGATTGTTTCTAATCCAGCCATTAAAGGCAAGATCGTTTCTGATCTGGTCACCAAAGGTATAAGATCGTTTCTAATCCAGCCGCCTAAGGCAAGACCAAGAAATGACTCAGCCAGTAAAGGCAAGATTTGAGCTATCCAGTAATTAAAAGCAAAATTTGAACTTGTTTTAATCAGATGTTCGAAATTCCCTCATTTGTATGCACAGATCCAGTCGACGCCGAAAATCGTTCAAAACGATCTTACCTTTGGTAGCTGGTTCAGAAACGATCTTGCCTTTGGTGGCTGGATCAGAAACGATCTTGCCTTTGGTGGCTGGATTAGAAACAATCTTGCTTTTAATGATTGAATCAGAAACGACTTTGCTGTTATGTTGCAGATTGTAGATGAAATGAAAATTCCTTCATCTAATTAAGTGTTCGAATACACGTCCATTGTTGTCATATATATAGTTGAACTCGATATTGCAAGCTTTCAACAGTTGATAGAAGAAAATTTCTTGAAATGCTTTGGCGTACATGCGCACAACGAGAAGTATAAATCTAACCAAACAACCTCCGCATGTGATACAGTTTAGATAATACTAGTACTGGCAGTTTTGTAACATTCAATCTTTATAACTCGAAAAGAAATTTTATTATATTATTATATTAATTTTATTTCTTTTCACTTAATGAAAAGAAATTTTATTATAGTGTTTTGAAAAGTTTTCGAGATAAACTACAAGAATGTACAACAGAAAATGAGAATTTCCATTTAAGAAATTGAAGGTAACCTTCATGTAACGATTATCCAAGGTCAAATTAAAGACATCTTCTTACGTCCTCTTCGAAATTATAAAACTTTTATTTGAAACATTTTTCTCTAAAATGCACTATTCAAGAAATATTTGAGGTGAATTAAAATGGGATACCCTGTATATACATACATGTATATATGAGTATGTGTTTTTATCTATTTTTTTATTGCGGTACTTTCCGACGTTCACGCAAAGAGAACTCGGAAAGTATCAAGATAAAAAATTTAAAAAAATATAACAGGGGAAAAAATACATAAATAAAAAAAAAGAAAAAAATATAAATATAACTGATGCAACGGAGACAATTTTGTTACAGCTATTTTTAACATTTTTCAAGAACGATAGTACCATCAATAAAATCACAGGACAATGAACCTAGTGTAAATCTATTTGTCCACCAGCAATTTGAAGAATGTGATTTACCTAAGAAAGTAATCATTAACGAAGTCAGGATGCTCGTCGAGCCAAGCCTCCATACGGGCGTATTCCGGATCGTACGCCGCCGAGGTCGACGTCGAGGAATAATAAGCGCCGCCGCCACCGCTGCCACTGTTTCCATCCTGCACCTGTTGCAGCATACTCTGGCTCGCCACGCCACTTTGGACACCCTGTACTCCTTGTACGCAGGGAGCCGCCGTCTCCGCCGTCATCCTCGGCTCCTCGATGCTCCGCAAGTGCAGGCCTGTATTTTCATTGTGTTCTATTCGTTAATTACGATTATTCAGCAGCCTCATAAACGCAGCGAAATAATTAGCCAAATAATCACATTTCTCAAGAGATTTTGTGATCGTGTAAAACAAACAATCTGTCACTGCAGTCTGACCTATCATATTATTTTCCAAATCGTTCGAGTATCTTCATGATCGCGTGTTATTATACTTATTATCTAATATCTAGCATATTTATCTCATAATAAGTTGGAATTTTCTCGACCGATTTTAACAAATAAATCTTACTTTTACAAAGATTTACATTTTCTTCCTATGCTGTATCTGCATTTGAACGAAAATAACGTGCGAATGCGGTGCAAAATGCGTGGTTGAAGTGTAACGAATCTATATTAATTGTATTAAAAACAATTACTAATACGTAATTATGATTTCATTTTAAACACAATTTTCCCATAAAGCTAATTTTATTCGCTTCTAGAAATTCGGCATTCTAATAGGACTCTGTACGCTCCAAAGAATTTCGTGGCGATTAGACACGGAGATAAGGGGCTAAAGACAGAGATGGGATGAACATTTTCTGGATTCTCTCACGGAATATAATCTTTTCTCAGAAATCTAACTCTTTCCAGAAAATTCCAGACAGTACTTCAAGAATATTAGATAGTATCGTATTTCAAGTTGAATCTGATTGAAATGAAAAAACTGCTACCACAGTTGTGCAACGAAAATTAGAGATATCGGTAGCATATCGCACTCCTATTTTTCATATTCAGAAAGTCTTCAGGCATTGCGAAATATTTGTTCGCGATTATTTTCTTCAAAAATCCTATAAATTCTACGCAGAAAAAAATTAATCTTAAATCAAAATAGATATTCTCAAATACAAATAAGAATATTATAATCTTCTTAGAAGGCTTTAGTCTTGATTTGACTAAATTTGTATTGATGCATTTATTATTTGCACTCAATTCAAGACTAAAAATCTTCTAAGAAGATTATAATTTTTTGCTCACATATAAAAATATCTATATTAATTTAAGACTAATTTCTTTCTGGGTAAAAATTCTAATAAAATTCTAAAAATGAAGATGTCTTGCGAACAAGTCTCACGCGAAAAAATCCTCGCGTGATCTTTGATGATCTATTCTATAGACAAGGGCATTAGATGATCTAGAATCAGGCACTAGTTCTAGACAATTCATTATCTTTAAATTATTGTATTTTTTATCGGATGGCGCATATCACAAGATTCCTTAGCATTTGTGTTAGCTTTATCAATTGTCAATTATTTCTTGTTTGTTAGCAACAAATAGGATATTGTATTGATATCATTAACCAATAATTGTAGTAAAACGTGAGACGTCAATTTAAGTGTATCTTTAAAAACTTAAGAATTGAAAGTTTATTATCTATAAAGATTGCCTTATGGCTTTTACGGAAGGTAGTAAATAGCATTAGATTTTGTAGAAAAAAATCAAAATTATTCACAATCAGTTAAGATTAAATATGTTTCACGAATAGTCTGATCCGCACAAGACCCAAGGATCTAATTATGAATTTTCATTATTTTATTGATTCAATTAAAATTTAAAAAATATAAAATAGTACTGAAATTTTCCATAAAGTATTCTTTATGATTAATTACAGCTATGAAATATGTTCCAACTATTAATCTATCAAATTTATTGGTTGTTTAATATCTTTCTAGATAAAAATATAAATTTCTATCCTTATTGTGGCCCAGAGCTATAGTGTCCTTATTCGTCTATAAATGAATAAATTAGCCTCGATCAGTCTGGACATAAATTGAGAATCATTCCATCTCATCGATATATGAAAGAAGTACGCTCGTTTCTATTCTATATCGTGTTCTAAATCGTATTCATTTGCGATCATTCGTCCTTGTTAGCTTGGATCCATCTCGTAAAATTCGTTCTTCTCTCTATCCCTCATATGCCGTGATCCCTAATTCTCGCGTGGATTTTACCGTCGTATATCGGCCCGTTCCGATTGAGGGGAAGATTGTCCCTGGGATTTTCCAGCTGATCGTCGATTAAATCACTTGATTTATTACCCCTCTTATCACGATTATCCTAAACATTTCTGTTGTTTTCGATGAAAATGTATGCCATAAAGAAATTATTTGTTCTAAAAAGAACGAATCTTATCATTGATAAGAATCTTTTTCGAGATTAGTTTTTCGGGATTTTAAGATTGTTTCTTTTCGATAGAAACGTACGATGTACTTTCGAAATAGATCGCTATCTCGTCATTCTATATAGTATTAAAAAGAATGTTAAGATGAGGTAACCGAAAAATAAACGTTACCGATAAACTCCACGGTTCATCTCGTGCTGATGTATAAAATGACGAAGCCATTTTCGTAAAATATTTTTCGATCGTCTTACCTTGTTACGACGAGGAAAAACGGAGAGGAAATCGAGAGCTCGTTGTAGGAACGGTCAAATGACCAAACGTAAACCCGTGGAAATCCGTGGAAAAACCCGGCACGGATTACTGGGTAAATTTCCTATATAAGCGCGCGCGTTCTTTTCACGGATGAGTTACCGCACATCGCTTCGGTCCTGCTCACATTCGAATCGTCGATTATAAGCTACGGTCTGAATGTATAATACGTACGGATGTCGCTACGATAACCGGCTTACAGCAGAGTAATCACGCGGAATATTAGTTTTTCGATGACAGGCATGGTACCGGGGTGTTCTGCAACTGGATGACGTAACCGAAGAAGCGACGAGTCTAAATGAGATAATAATCGAAACTTTGTTCCGCACTTATATTTCATGTGAAATCATCATTATCTTCCGCCGTGCCAATGCGAATGTCTTTTTATACAGTTTTCGTTTTTCCTAAAGCTTCGTTACTTTCCATACGGGACAGACAGATCAAACACCACAGAAATATTTCATCGTAAGGCTGCAAATACATTACGCAATGCCACTGTGTAGCGTTATTATATTTAGCCTTTAGAGTGAACCGGAAATCGAGCTGTGCTTGATGATACTGTACGATGCGTAGAAAAACAATATGGTACATGTGGGTGGGCCGATGTTCCAGCGTTCCTTTATACTTCCATGCTTCTCCGTCTCTCTCTCTCCCTCCCTCTATGATGCTATTCTGACAAATTCAGACTCCGATTCTTAGGCACGCACTGAATATCGATGGCTTAAGTTACCAAGCGGTCGAATCGATCGACGCAAACGCGGTATGCATCTTAAAATTCGTTATACAGAGTCACTTTTGCGTAGCACACTACCTGCAATTTGCGGATATTTCAGTCGATTTTGAGTCAATTTTATTGTAACAAAGATATCAAGCGACGTCATTCATTTTCTACGCAACTTCTATGTGCCTTTGTAACTTGTACTTCGTATTAATGTCCTGTTAAAGTTTACTTGAAGTTAATTGAATAATTATAATCTTATTACCTATTTGTTTTCCTGAAGCTTACTCTGTTTTTGAAAAGATTTTTAATCAGATAATTATTTGTAACTTATACTTTGATATTTTCGAGAAGGAAATATCAATTCATATTGTCTAAAAAATATGTACTTTGAAGGAAATGAACCGAAGGACAACCTGTATGTCACGTGTACGAGTTTCCTCCGAAGGAAAATATAAACGGGCAAATTATAAACCCAGCCAGAAATAATTAGTCAAATCGACATCGAATCGACGCCAATGAGTCGATAAATGGTTGATATTTTGTCATCAATTTTTGATCTCATTATAATTGTTTTTATATTATTATAATTCAACAATACAAAAATATTTCTACAAAATTTCTTTTGTATTTCGACTAATTCTACATATAATCCAACGCAAAATCGGAAAACAGATATATCTACATATATATATATATATATATATATATATATATTTGCAATTAGTTAATTAACCCTATGCTTAATGGCGGGACGCTCAGCGTTCCACATTTTTCCGCTCAGTTTTTAATTATTTTTCTTGATGTTAATATCAGTTTTTTGTTTTCATAGAGTCCTTAAAACATGAAATAAGTGTTAAAAAAAAGTAGGCAATAAATTTTAAATTAAGCCATACATTTTTATTTGTGTAATTACTATAACTAAATAAGTAGTCAAAATTTAAAAAAACTTTCACTTTCTACTAAACTATTATCAGTATATCAAAATGACAATTTAGGCATTCATTAGGATAGCCTAAGATATTTTTCAGATTTTTCCGCTCGTTTTTTTATTATAAATTAATAAATTTATTATAAATCTTTGAAAAATATGGAAAAATAGATATTTTCTACTGTCAAAATAAATAAATCCAAATAAATAGTTTAAATACCTATCTCTTATAATGGCGTTCTAGGAGTTTTTTGAGTCACTGAATTCTACTCTCAGATCAAAATTTCAAAATTAAATCCAAAATAGCGGAATCGGTAAAATGGATCAAAGACAAAAAAATGAAATTTGAATTTTAAAATTATGATTTCTGATTCGTAATCAATGAACCAAAAAATCCCTGAGTACAGAATTTCAAAAAAATCGGTATAAAATCGGTACAAAAATTCGTGACATAAACGTTAAAATAAGAACAATTATAATGAAGTAAATGACATATCAGACAGTATTCGACATTGATAGTACTCGACATTGATCATTCTTCGACGTATTGACATCGAATCGACGTTAATTCAACTAATCATTTCTGGCTGGAAAGCGATCATATACCAATCAATTGGAAGGAAACAAAACGTATTATCATGAGAGATTCATTCAATTCCCATATTTCCACACACGACAAACGCTCTTTTTGTTGACGTTCTTTGCTAGATGATCGGTTATGTGGACAGTCAGACACACGCGCGCACACACATAACACAATCGTAATAAATATATTTTAGATTTAACGAAATCCTCCCACGAACATTATTGCCTTTGCCGCTTGTTAGTGACGACAGAGGGAAACATGATAATCATTACTATGAAGATAGTGGTAGCCAAACAACTGGAATTGAAGC